GTGTCAGATACCTCTAGCTACTGTGCGACAGATTTTCCTGATTGATACACCTCCAAGGAATGTAGTGGGAAACAGGATCAACAATAAAGCTGTTGACACTCATCTTTCACAGTTTCAATTAGCAAACATAAACAAAAAATGATCAAATATATGTAAACAATGCTTAGACTATTAATTACTTTGCCTTTTATAAAGGCTTCAGCTTTAATGACTCAGCTCTTTCCTTTTCACTAATAGTCTAAGATAAATTACTAATAATACATTTTAATAACAATATTATAATATAAAATAAAATTAGTTTGGACCTGTGGATTAAAAGTAGGTCTCAGTAATCCAGGGCAAGTTTTGCAGTGGATTTGGTGTAGAGCTAAAATATTCGTCAGCACACATTTGTGCAAGATAATCTGCAGCGCACCCCGCCAGAGCTTTCATGCATCAGTTCAGCTGAGAGTTACATAAAAGACATTTGTGAGAAAAAGGCAAGCAGCGGAGTTAAGAGATGAGCTGCTCAGGGATCAGTGCCACAACAGAGGACAGCGGCACCTCGACTGCCATCTCCATTGTACCCACTCAGAATGAGGGCAAGAACGTGGAATAGCCATTAGGTGGCAACAACTTCAAATTGCTTCCTGGCCCTCCTGCCTCTGACCCACTGACCTAAAACAATCCACAGAACATACAGGCACATTTAGCACAGTTCAAAGCAAGTACAGCCCTTGCTTCCCACGCCAGTGTGCTTTTTAAGCAAACAGAAGCCCATGAAAAATCCTTCCCTTGGAAGGAACCTGTTTCTGGAGCCCGTGCTGGACAGCTCTTGCACGGTGCCACGGCAGGGGAATGTCACCTGCGCACATCATGGAACAGAAGCACCTTCCTCCAGGAAATTAATGAGGTGTTTCTTTAGAGGAGTAGTGAAGACTGATTTTGATGATATGTCTGCATCTTGCTTCAAAAGACCTTAAAAGATTTTCCTGTATCAGGTAAAGCTGCTTATGTATTTCTGGAAATTTTTAGGAGCTGATAAACCATGGTTACTGGAATCCAGCAACTTCATTTTGACACTGTCTTTTATATGTGTTTCTCTTTTTTCTGTCTGTATTTTTTCCATAAATTCTTAGTATGAAATTTGAACTTTAGAGGCTTGTTTGGCATATATTCTTCTCTATAAATCAAAATAAAAGTCTAGACTTTAAGACAGAAATTCAGCATCATAAAATCATAGAATGGCTCAGAAGGGACCTTAAAAATCACCCAGTTCCAACCTCCCCAGATTTAACTACTTTGTACTTAACAGGATTGTCTCCACCACACACAATCAAACTATAAAAATCAAAATGTTATTTAACCTGAATTTTCTTCCTTTTCCCATAACTGCTTATAAAGGAGACAGCTACTACATATTTTCTTCACCACACAGGCTCTTTTTTACATTAGACAGTATCAGTTTTGCTTTAACAGAAGCAGCAAACAAAACCACTCATAAAACTGCCTTCCTGCCAGTGACATCATAGTCTAACATAACCTATGCTGGGAAGGGTGTCCTTTGCTTAGGTTGATAGAAGACATCTGCAGGATTGTGCAAAATAAGTGTACACTGACATACACAAGGACATGAACAAAAAAAAAGAAAATAATATTGCAAATAACACCAAGAGAAGTACAGGTATTTAAAAAAAAAGCGAAGCAATTACTGAAGGTCATTACTTACTTTAAAACTCAAAGATGAAAATTAAAGGGCAGAGACTTGGTGGACTATGACACAAGAGAAAGCAAATTCTGCTATTAGCAGCAGAAACTGTTCATTTGACACAGTGATGACAGACTGATTCCAGAGTGACAGTTGTTATCCAGCCACCAGAAGGAATTGCCATTCTGCTAAGTAACATTTTGAGTATGAACAAATTTCCATAAGAATAAAATTTTCAACTGTGTATTCAAGCATAAAATAGCTTGGATAAAATATTAATCCTACAGGTGAAAAGTGCTTCCTAAGCTCTTTTCACAGGAAATCACCTCTCTGCAGGTGGGCAACATATAAAAATCTGTGTAATGTGTTATTTATTTTACCACAGACACTGTCTAAGCGGGTGATTGGAATTCATGCAAATATCCAAGCAGGAAAGCTTGCAGCTCAGTGTGCATTATAAGCAGTTGCTGCTTTCCTCTCAACTTCACCAGAAAGACAGAATATTTCTAAGGCTTAATATGCAGCAGTACAAAGATTATATTACAGTAATATAAAATAACACAAGGTCTACTTTCTCTTTGGTCTTGGAAAGAAAATATAGAGTCATTAACTTGGTCATCAACACAGCTGCCAAATTGTTTTGTGAAGACTGTATTTTTAAAGAAAAGAGGAATACTGCACAGCAATAGACATCATATGAGCCAGCTCGGTGGCTCACCTCCATCCTCACCTGCTATCAGCCCCAACACATTAACTCAATCAGTGCAGAACAGCTCTCAAATACACAGGGTCAGTTCCTCCCAACCTTTAGGGACAGAAAATACTAAAGAGAAGTGATGCAGTGCACTGGAATATCTAATTAGCTGATCACACAGAATCAATTAGGTTGGAAGAGACCTCTCAGATGACTGCTCACCACCTAAAAAGCACACAAGCAGTGCTATAGTTGAAAAGGCAGAAAAAGGAAGACCAGGGAATAGCTTGAATGTGTGCAAATCTGCTTTACACAGTGTTAGAAAAGACTCATCCCGTAAGCACAGGTTCAGGAATCTGTCTCCCCCCTGGAATAACTCTCAAGAAGGGGAATGCTGGATTCCAAACCCTCCCTGTGCTAAGGCTAACACCACAGGACTAGTCTACATCTCAGTTACACACAATTACAGTTCCTCCATCAGCCCACCAGGAAGTTATTTGCAGGAAGCTCTGCAAAGTGATTGCTGAGGAAATCCCCCACATGTCCATAACACAATCAAATCAATGGCCGTGGAGCAACATTTCTCTTCATTACAGGTGCTACTTCAGTTCTAAAAAATTACTTTTAACCTGTCATGTAGTTTGAACACTTCAAGTGTGACATTAATTTTGAGATAGAGCCTTCAGCCCAAACCAGGGCAGATTCCAGAGTATACTGAGCACATGCACCTAAACCCCAGTATTTCAAATACACAAGCTAAAATATGCATAATCTCCAGCAATTGCATTTTTTTTACCATAAGAAAGAGTAAATATTTGGAATTCAACATGCTGAAGACAGTATTGGTCTTTTTCCCAAATATCAACTACCCAAACAGCTGCCTGGCTACCTTACAAGACACTCTTTTACTCACAGCAGTTCTCAAATTTTACATCTTAGATGGCATTTCAACCAACCAGAACTACTGGGCCTATTGATAAAGTTTCAAAGGCAACACACTGATTTTATGAGCTGAAACAGGGAGTGAACAGGGATTTCCTAATAAAACACAGACCCCATCTTACTGCTGTAAAGGAACTGCCAATCTATACAGCATTATGAGAAAGGGTAATAAAATTATAATCAAACTCATTGTATTATTTAACATTGTAATAGAGCCAACAATGCTAAATCTGTATTAGTAGTAGTGGCCTTTTTCCTGCCACACTGAGGTATTCCAGACCACAGGAAAACTACAATCATTGCTAAATAGAGCATATTTGTATAAATATTCTTAGAGGTAGTTCAAAGAGTCTAGAGCTGAATGTTTAAGACTGCACTACAACAGCAGAGAGAGAAATGGGGAATATTAAAAAAAAAGGGAAGGTGGCAAAAAATGTTTCCTTAGAATATGGGACTTTTCACCTGCAGATTGCTTAGGAAAAATGTCTAAGGAAGGTACCTGAGATAAAAATCGTCAACAGGCTTTGAATTGCTACATGGAGGTCAAAACCCTCCTGCAAAATTCCTGTGGTATAGAGAGTTGGGAAGATCAAACTCCTCTAACATTTTCCTTGTTCAAAAAAAGAAAGAAACAACCATAGCATTTCTTTAGTCAAGGAATTCAATTCTAGTTGTGTGACAATATGCAGAGCAATAATTAAGAAATTCCAGTTTCCAAGCAACCCCCTATGCTAAAAGAGACTGAAAATATCCTAAAAAAAAACCAAAAAAAAAAACCAAAAAAAAAAAAAACAAAAAAAAAAAAAACAAAAAAAAAAAAAAACCAAAAAAAAAAAAAAACCTAAACAAAACAAACAAAAAAAACCAGCCAGCAGTACCACCACCAAATACAGAGATATGCCTTTTCTGATTAAGCTACACAGTTCCAAAAGGAGAAAATCTTCTGGAAAATGAAAAAGGTAGTTGTCAGAATTGCAAAAATAATTTTTAACCAAGGAAAATGTTTACATATGAGGCTTCCAGCAACAAAAGTAAGTCACAAAGAACAGTAAAATTTTACACATAGGCATCTGTAAAAGAAGAGAACTCTCTAGAAAAAACAGACTTCCAGCATTATTTTAGCCAATTTACAGAGGCAGCTACCCTTCAAATCACTGTTTTTGGAAACCCTGTTGACTCCTGTATGGCACTCAGACTTATACTGTAGAAAGAGTAAACTGTCCCATGTAAACTGTCATTAAAAAAGCATGAAAGCTCAGATCCCAAAATACAACTGTTAACATTTGAAGGTCCCCACCAGAACAATGAGTTGAAGACATGCTGCTACAGAATTCTTCAGGTTCAGATGCTTTGTAAAATTCTAGCTCTTCCATTATAGCTGTATGTTAGCTTCTCTTCTGCAGAAAGGTTTGAAAGATTGCTCCTCAGATCTTACAGGCATTTCCTCACTCCAACACACCCACACCCCCACTGCAGAGGAAAGTGTTCCTCATTGGATAAATGTACGCTAAAGGAAAAGAACTTTGCAGGATTATTGGCTTATTTCATTATATTGCATATATACAAATATCATTAGTGAATGGCTACTTCCAATACCATCTGTCCAATGCCAAGGGCTCTTTAGGAACAGTTTATATGGCAAAAGCATTATAGTGAAGGAGATTACATTTTACTTACCTTGATGAGTCATTGTGACGGGTTCTTCACTGGATACATTGTTGTAAATGACCACAGCTGTGGCATTATGTGAAGCTGCTCGCAGGATTTTCTCTTTAAATGTACAATTTCCTCTCTGTAGTAAAGCAATCCACTGCTTGGTGTTTGGTGGGACCTGGAAACGTGTTCGAGGGTCACAGCCCAGACGATCTGCAACTGAAATGAGAAGCAAAGTTACAGAGACACCAATTTCTTCTAACAGGCAAAACAAAGAAAAAAAAAATAAAAACTTGCTGAAGTACTTTAATGTTATGCACTAGGAAGCCACTATTCTCTTGTGAAGAAAGTCTAGAGATAACCGTATTCTTATGAAAATAAGATTTTAAAAAAAAGAAGTCTCACGCATTGAAAGCTGTGACTATATGCCCAAGAATTAGGCTCACTAACACAAGCTATTTTTAACTCCAGTGCAGCCAGAATAATGAATTCACATTCAAATCAATACCTGCCTAGAGGCCAAAAAACATTAGAATATGGTTCATCTGCTACAGGCATTTACAAAACAGCTGTTTATCAGTCATTCTGGGGAGTACAAGTCTTTTTTTTCTTCCTAATGCAGCCACAAATATCACTGCAGTGGGAAGTACAACTAAACAAAGCAGGTTGTGAAAACAAGATTTCAGTGTTATCTGCCATGTGCAGGCTACTGTAAAAAAGGACAACATTAAAAGCTGATCTTGTAAAACCCCAGCAGCCAACATCAGCATTTTACATATGCACATTTTGTCTACAAGGAAATGTATTCGAATTCATGGAGAAACAAATGGGTTTGCAAACACAATGCACTCGCTAGGTATAGATGGTATAAAGGAAGAGTAACAGAAATGGCAAATGCCAGATGTCTGAATTCAACAGTGTGCAAAGCTCTTTTGTCCCTTCTGATGGTGTAACATATCCTGGAACAACCCAAAGCTGTGTACAGAAGGCACAAAACCCAAGGCAGAAGGAACTTCCCAGCAGCTGAAACCGATGAAAGACAGATCTGCTTGCACAACTGGAAGCACAGTTTAGTCTGATACACTGGTCATATCATTAAAGGATTTTAATTTAGAGCCAACAACAGTTTATAATGCAAATATATTTATCCTTTTGAATGCCAAGAGTATAATAATCTCTGGCTACTAAAAATAGTTGGGATAAACAGTGATTTTTTCAAGACATAAAAACCAATCTATTTGCATAATAGCTCAGAAAACATTACAGTTCTGCAATGTAAGAGCAAATCAAATGACGTCTCCCAGAATTTTTTTCCTTTTCAAGAAATGAGTTCAGCACAACTATGAGATTTCAGCAAAAAAATCTACCACCAAAAATATCCAGTTTAATGTATTAGCTGGAAACAAAAGGTCTTTTTAAGCACTCTCAGTATAACATAGCTGAGGTTAAAATTTGTAACAAAGGAGATTCAAAGAGCTAAAGATGTTTTCTGAAACAAAGAAAATCTGCTTGCTAAAGAAGGCTAGTTCAGATGAATCTATACTGTGGCAGACATAGAGGAAGTCGTTGCATCTCGTAATTTGGACAAGAAGTGCCTCTCCCTGTTCCCGTGGAAGGAGGGTGGGGAGCCAGATACCAGCACATCCTTTTCACAATTGTTTTTCAAGCCTGTATTAGACATCTCAGACATGGAAGGCTATTTGCTGTATTTTTGTTTCATACAGGCATCAGGGAAAATCTGAAATACAGATGCCTGAAGCCAAGTTTTATAGTATTTTCTTCCATTACCCTGACATCATTACTCGACTCCTTGTGGAAATTGCTAGCTAGCACTGATCCACACGTGTTTTGCAGCACTGGTGATGGCCATCACAAACACCAACAATCACAGAAGAGCATGTTCATGCCCACTGCTCTTTTGCAGCTCGTCTTTGTAATCTTAAACTTGAGAATTATATGTATTTTTTAAAGGAATTACAGTCCTTTTTGAAAACATCCAAGAATTACAACACGGCACGTGTTTTTGCCCTCTCTTAAGACAAAAGCTGTTTAATGCACGATTCCCCCCTGCTCTGAACATTTTCACTCAAAAACAAGGAAGGGGGAAAGCACTAGCACACTGTGATAGGAAGTTTCTCAAGCCTTGAAAGCAAAAACTCCCATCCTTCTCCCATGAAATCATATTCAAGAATCTCAGGTATGACACATCTGTTGGAAAATACCATTTTCTAAATGGCTACAATTCCATAGAATCCCCTCAAACAGCCAAAAATAACTCTGAAAGTAGACACTCTGACCAACATAAATTTACCTAAAATATATGGGATTATTAAAAAACAGTAATCCTACAGATTATGTACTGTTTCCTTCAGTACAATCATGATCACAACTAAAATATGAAGTGAAAACAAAAATGGCCACAAGAAGAAGGAAATGGGTTATTACAGTGAAAAACCCTAAAAGCAACAAAGAGCATCTTGAATGAGGAAGAAGCATTCTCCAAATTCATGTAGGCACCTTGAAATTTGTATGCTTGAAAATTTTTAGCTTAAAAAGCAACAGAGAAAGCAGTAAGAGATAACAGAAACTGCATCGGTGGGAAAAGTAGTACAAAATTTTCTACCACAGTAGAGATCAAAGTCTCTCTCAGCTGTGGACAGAGCTAAGAAATGCTACTGGATAAAGCAAAAGAATTAGGAAACAAGATATTAAGAGATTAAAGCTTTCCAGATATAGACCAACAAACACCACTCAAATGCTTACAGCGTGTTATTCCTGACGAGGTGTATTCAGTATATCCTGATGAAAATTTAACAGCTGACAACATTAGCTCAGTACTATTTAGGTAACACAAAAACATTGAGAAAAATCTGATTGGTTTAGATAAATCTGAACTGTCTGCAAGTCACCTGAGATTTAACAAAAAGTAACAACCCACTTTTCTTTGCATTAGCATTCTATTACACCACACAAATGTTAAGTAATCTTTTCACTTTTAACTAAATAAAATTCAGAAACAATAGTGAAAAATGCGGTGTGTTCTGCTTGTTTTTTCAACAGACTGAAGACATTCTGAAAAGTGAGTTAGTCTTAAAATCACAGTCCCCCTTCCAGAACAGTGAGGTGGTTACAATGAAACATCTGTACAGCTTAGGTGTCAGGGATATCAGTGGGCACTGAAGGGGACACACGTGAACACGGTCAGCCAGAATCACCTCTGACACTCTCCACTACCCTGCTATCTATGATCTCCTGTCCAAAGTTCAACTAGAATCAACAACAAACACGGGCTGCAAGCATTATCTGGATGATCACAGAATTGTTTGGGTTGGAAAAGACCTCTAAGATCATTGAGTCCAACCAGTAATCTGGCACTGCTGTGTTCACCACTAAACCATGTTCCTGAGTACCACATCTACAAGTTTTTTAAATCCCTCCAGGTATGGTGACTCCACCACTGCCCTGGGCAGTCTGGTTCAGTGCTTGACAATCCTTTTAGTGATGAAATTTTTCCTAATATTGAATCTAACTTCCTCCAGGCACAGCCTGAGGCACTTTCCTCTCACTGTGCCACTTGCTACACCTGGGAGAAGAGGCTGAACACACCTGGCTCCACCCTCCTGTCAGGGAGCCTTAGACAGCAAGAAGATCCTCCCTGAGCCTCCTTTTCTGCATCTCCCTCAGCCTCTCCTCATCAGACCTGTGCTTCAGCCCCTTCCTCAGCTCCTTTGTCCTTCTCTGGACATGTTCCACTATCTCAATGTCTTTCTTGTAGTGAGAGGCCCAAAACTGATGTTACTTGCAAGAATGAAAAGCAACTTCATATTAAATTATTCTAAAACAAATCACTTGCACAGAGAAAGATATGATCAGAAGCCACTCAATGAAGTTCAGAAGATATAAGCATATATTCCCTATAGGTGCACTACTCTTCTGGCTTATTTGAAATATAAGACCCTGCCTGTCTCTGTGTTTATCTATGCATCATGTGTTGGCAAAAACACCAGTTTTCTGGTTTAGAAGGTTTAGAAGTGGCAGCCTGCTGGGCTAAAGAGCTATGTACAATGTTGTTGTAAATACCTCCCTTCCTACCCTAAGTCCTAACACCACAGAAGAGCCTCTTTACAGAAGAATCAGCTGTGATTTAAGTACCTACCATTAGGCTCATGTTTGTTTTCTGCTTTAGGAGAGCTTCAGTTTCCTTTTGCAGAATACACACGGCTGCACAATTTGTGTAACTCTTTCTCTTTGAGAATTTTTTATAATTCAAGACCCCTTTCTACTATAGAACTAAGGTTTGTGACAGCATTTTAGGGATTCATGGGGAAAAAAATAGTTAATAATGCAACAGATCCAACCAAGGTTCCTCAACTACTGTAGATGTAGTGGCAAGCTCAAATCAGCACAGCAACAGTACCTTCCTTCTCTTCTTTTCCAATTGCTTGACCATGTTTTAGCCTTCTTTCTATAAGAAGAGGAGCCATTTTGTGGAGCAAAAATGAAACAAACAAAAAAAAAACAAAACAAAAAAAAAATGAAACAAAGCTCCCAGCAGCTTTGTCACAAGTGCACACCTGTCTGAATGCAGACTGTCCCCTAGTTCTGAACTGTGCCTGGGTTTACTCTTTCTCACACTGTGTTCCTGCTGCTCTTGCCCCCTTCAGCCAAGGTTGCTGCACTGGCTGTTACCAGACTTTATCCCCTTTTCACAGAAATATCCCACTCTCTAGGCATTAACCATTTTATTCTATGCAGGGCTTTTCTCTCTTTTTTTTCCTCTAAAGGTCAGATATCTTGCTATTGATTTCATCTTAGCTAATACTGTACTCTGTAAATCCAGCACCAGTTGCCAGAGCTGGTCTGTCTCAGCTACACATACAGAAATCATTTTCAAGTCTGACCTTCAATCACTGTAATACAATAGCTGGAGAGACACCACTAGTATTTTGAGGGACAGCAGATCAAGAGGTTTGTTGGTAAAGAAACCACAGAGGAACACAGGAAGGTGCAGTGCCATGCATGCTGCACCCCAAAGCATTCCCTCCCCACAGCTCTGCTGCCCAGGTAGGTGCTATGTAGAACACCTGACTGGTAAAACAAGACAGTTTTGTGCAACACATTCATTATAATCCTGTGATGAAATTTCCAGAAAAGAAATTCAGCTGGGAAATTCACAGAGGCAACTCAGCAGTGCTGATGGATTATTTCAAGGAATGGTA